CCCCCCCCCCCCCCCCCCCCCCCCCACTCCAAGCCATTCTAACTATATCATTTGCTGGGCTAAAAAATCACCATACTAAGAATTTGATTCCCTAATTTTGCTTTGAGCCATAATCTGGTTTATTTTCCCCCTCAGGAATCAGTCTCTTAGTTACATATGACATATAGCCAATGTTCATTCTTCAAAGGGAACATCATGCCAAAAGGTGGGCTGTCTGTTTTATAGCATTTTGGAAGGTGTGTGTATTTATATTGCTGGGCTAAAAAATCACCATACTAAGAATTTGATTCCCTAATTTTGCTTTGAGCCATAATCTGGTTTATTTTCCCCCTCAGGAATCAGTCTCTTAGTTACATATGACATATAGCCAATGTTCATTCTTCAAAGGGAACATCATGCCAAAAGGTGGGCTGTCTGTTTTATAGCATTTTGGAAGGTGTGTGTATTTATAATTGTTAGATGTTTACAGAGCATGCAGATGGCCAAACTATATTTTGGATGAAACGTATAATTGTGAAAAGTGGTTTTTTTCGACACTCATTTAAAAGCATTTTAATGTAACCAGTATTTGAAAAGATTTTGAACAGGATAGCCTACTCATGGGAGAAAAGCTGGATTAATAGCCATTTTTCTTGTCTATGGCTTATCCTGTTGAATAGAATTAGCGGAATTTCCAGTGACAAGTACAGCTGTCCTTTCAGGTAATGTGGTTCGCTCTGCAAAAAAGAGGGCCAGCAAACAAACGAACAAAAAGTAGTTTTTTTGGTAGAGCAGGTATGTAAATACATCAGCAGAGGGAGTTGGTGGTAGCACAGATTTCCAAGTAAGATGAGATTGAGTGTAAATTTATTCAGTCTCACAATGTGAATCTTACAGCCACAAAAACACTTGCACTTTTCACGTTGAAGGAGGCATGTAAAATACTTCTGTTGGGGCTGTTTGTTTCTTGCAGCTTTGGCAGAGAAGCGCTGTCCTGTCAAAAGGAAAAAATAGCGGGCAAGATTTCAGGGTTGATTTGTACTCTGAAATTGTATTAAAGATGATGGGCAGGTCCAGAGAATCAACCTATATATAAAAACAAAACCAAATGCACAATATTTAGTTACTGAGTTGAAAAATAGGATGGTTGCTGCTTATCAACCTTTGCAAAGTGTGCCGAGATTCCAAAATGGAAGGGTCTGTAGAGGTGTCGTGAATGCCAATGCACTCCAGATTATCTGCTTAGCAGGTAGGACGTGGATTTTGTTCAGCTAATCAGGCATTTGGATAATCAAGAGGACAGGAGCATTTCGGTAGCAGAGTGACTTCCCTGTAAAGTGGCCCTCTTCCTTGCAGTCCTGGTCAGGGGTATCTGCTCAATAGCCAAGCCACTGCATTATCCGAATCGCTTCCTTGTCCCCCATTATAAACTGCACGGGAGAGAAAGAAGGGACTGGGATAATGCAGAAGTTTGCATAATAGCAGGGCTTTGGATGAAGAGGAGTATATTGTATTATTCCATTGAGCTATATATGGCCGTGCGACACTTATCCATGAGGTTAGTTGTGCGTGAGGTATAGTGCTATTCAATGTGAGCAAAGGTGGCAGAATCTGGCTCTTCATTACCATGTGGGAGTCTCAATATGGAGTCCACATTTTTAAAGGAAGCAAGCTGGACCTTTTGTGGTTCCTGTTTCCCTGTTTGGAAAGCTTGCTCTGTGTGGTTCCATGCTACTTGTACAGAGCCGTGTCCTTGGCTTCAGTGGGAGGGGAGCTTGCTCAGCACCAGTCTGTATGAGACCCCTATTGCACCCATGTAGAAGTTTCCAGGAGGCTTCGTACAGAGGCATATAAGCCTAGCTTGACTGGTGCACACTTACTTACAGCTACTCCGGCACGTCTGAATCTTTTAAAACACAGGGATCCGTATCTGCGACGTGCTGAGCACAGCCCTGGGCAGTCCAGCGGGTGGAAGCTCCCTTTCCTGGGACTGATTAAAAAATCCATTGAAAGTGGTGGAAAGACTTCCCGGGTCTTGCAAGAAAGACCCTGGGGCGGGGAGGGTCGACTGTCTTGGGCTCGCACGATGGGATTGAAAGTAGCACGTGTGGACATTCCCGCTCAAGCTGGAATCTCTCTTTGAAACCTGGGGTAGGAATGTCTACACTGCTATTTTTAGCCCAAGCCAGTTGACCCAGGCTCTGACACTCATGGCAGTGCTGGTGCAGAAAGAGCGCTCTGCAGCCAGCATGAGTCTCCGCTGCCCGCACAGGGACCGATAATACAGTTCGGAGGGGCAGTGCCGCCTCCCATGCCCCCACAACCTTTGCCCGTATGCTGAGCACCTTTAACCTCACCGACTGCAGGACTTGAGGATACTTGGGATGTATCTGCTCAACACCATGCAGGATCAGGCCTCTGTGAAGCCAAGAAACCCACATACAGTCTTCATTCATTGCTCAAGTCTGTGCAAGTGCCTTGCCACCAGCTGGCACCTACAACAGTCACGTATTCTCCCTGCAGGTGTTTGTGGCAGCCCGGCGTATGGAATTTCTGCTGCTGTCACAATGCTGTTGGTCCTTGAGGCAGCGTGAGAGTTGCAGTCCCAGGGCGTTGGATGGCACCCATGTGAGCTGTCTGTCAGCTTGTTACTGAAATACACATGATGTGGGTGACAATGGATTCTTTTCTCCCACGCACGAGCAGGTGGCACGGTGCATCTGCGGTGTCGCTTCTCCGTGCAGCTGATGGTCAGCTTGAAATGGCTTCACACTGTGCAAGGGTTCCCAGGGTGGGCTGTGAATTGAACAGCATCCCGAAGCTAACTGTGCACAAGGAGCTGGTGTGCTCCAGGCACAGGGTGCATAGCCACATGCTGCAGCAATGCATCCCGAAAGCAAATGTGGGTAGCATGGTGCTGCTGCTTGTGTCGGGAGTAACTACAACTGCAAACATTTTTCTAAGGAATCACCAGCAGCATCAGCTAAAGCAGCCACAAAACAGGTGGTGCCCTTTATTGGCCTGACACATTTTCAGGTTTAGTACCTGTTAGCCTCCTGCTTGTATTTTAGGATAGAAATGTCAAGCGGGTGTAAGTTCTGGGGTATCCCAGATATCCATAGGGTAGTTGGTTTTGAGCAACATACTGACTTTCACATCTGATCTGATTCATAATCCAGCTCCAATCCATGACAGCCAGCGCAGTAACCTGACCTCAGGGAAGGGTACCAAATGGTTTGGCTGATGACGTTGCCTGGTTTTGAGGAGCAGGGAAGTTGAGAGAGAAGTACTCCATTCTAATAACACGCTCCCCCACACGTTCAAAAGCGTCTTCTAATTAGGGGAGCCTTTGTTTTTGGGTGGTGTCCAAAGCTGGATACCAAAAAGCAGAGCTACCAACAGAATTAGTGTGTCATCTGGAAAATGTGAATTTCTCTGGGCCTCAGTCCCCTACTCTGTGAAGTGGGGATGATATTTGCCCACCTTCGTAAAACGCTTGGTGCTCCTCAGGTGAAAGGTGCTGTGGAAATGAAAAGCATGAAATAAGCTTTGAGAGCTTCCTTTGCTGCATTAAGAGAGACTGGCCTAAGAGGTTTTAAGTGGTGGGTTAAAAAGATGCTGTTAAATCCCTTCCCAAAGTATTCAGGGTGACAACGAGGATAGAACTCAGCCCTTCCTGCTTCAAAAGCACAGGCGCCTTCTAGATGAGATTGAGGCAAATCTCCAGTAGCTGTTGCACTATCAGGTCCATGACACTCAGTTGAGCAGTTCTGATTCTCCCCAGCACAGAGCAGGGCTAGTTCAACCTCCAACTGCGGAAATGCAAATAAAGATACATCAATTCCAGCTACATCATTCATGTAGCTGGATTTGCGTATCTTAATTCGCCCTCCCCCTGTAGTGTAGACCTGGCCTGAGAATTGCTAACAGAGCCCCACTCAGTACAGACAGGAAGCAGCCGATTCCACGGTCCTGCTGAGTTGAGGGCTGCCTTCCAATCAGAATCCGCCGGGGCCCCAAAGGCCAGGCCTGCCTCCGTGCACATCTCTCCCGGCAATTCCCTTTGGTGGAAACTTACCGTAGGCCAAAGCCTAAGTGATTCTGCAGGGACCGAAGCGAAAGGTTTTCGTCGATGCGGGACTCTATAAGGTGCCACAGGACTCCAAACTATTGGATGTTTTGTCAAAGTGGTGACCCTGGCTCTATATGTCATTATTAGCTGCAGGCCTGAAAAAGAATAAAATCAGCAGAGTGTTGGCCGGGTGAAGATGAAAGGGAGTGTGGGAGGTGGAAGCGTGATCTTTACAAATAGGATCAGGGAAGGCTCTGGGTGGAGGAGCTGAGCTGGGTGAGTATTTATGATGGAGTAGGTGGCAGATATTTAATTAGAGCTCTGCTATTGGTCGCTGGGTCGGCGCCAAGATCCTGCCCCTGCCTCCGCATCCTCCTTCGCCCCCCTCCTCGCCCGCATCCCTGTGCCCCCAATGCACACACCAGCAGGGCAGTAGCACTGGGACTTGCAGCCCTCTGGGAGCAGCACTGGGGTGAGGAGGGGTTGGGGACGGGGGCAGAGTCACTTCTATGCCTGGCTCAGCTCTTTTCCTGGGGCTGGCCACTCCCCCTGCAGGCTGCGGCTCCTGGGCAAGCGGGTGCTGGGGAAGAGCCGCCCTGCCCACGGCGAGCAGCCACGGCTTAGCCCCACGGGAGCAGCAGCAGCAGCATGTGACCAGCCATGCCACCCCTATCTGTGGAACAGACCCAACCCCACTCCGCCTTGGAGCAGGAGGCACAGCCTGTAGTGGAGGGGGGAGCAGAGAGAAGGGTGTTAACCCCTTAGCTCCTGGGAGTTGTATGCAGGGACACAGAGCCCAGTGCAGGGTCATGCCGCCCGCTGTTTGCCAGCCTGCCCGGCTCCTACGCCATGCTGCGCGTGCCACGTAAAATCATCTTATGGCACACGTGCTGTATGCTGCCAACCCCTGATATAGAATGTACAGGGGAGTGTGTGTACAGGGGAGTGTGAACGGCTTTGTGAGAATGTGGTTAAATCCCTTCTCCACTGGGGATGGAGCACACAAAATCTACTAGCCTGTGCCTCTCTACACACCGGTGTGTGCTTCTCACTTGTGTGCAGCCCCCTGACTTTTCTGCGGGTGATGGCGACAATATGTACAAAACGAAAATCAGCCAGAGAGCTCTCCTGGCAAAAGCATGTTACAGAATGCGACAGAGCTGCAGAAAAGAAAGCAGATGTCCTCATTGTATTTTAAACAGCCCTTCTTGCCTCCTGCTGACAAGCTGGTGCTGGCAGCAGCATCTAATCTCTAGGAATCC